TCCTTCTTCGCAGCCACACGTTGAAACTCTTTACGCCATGCGGCCGACCGGGTAATCCGACGTGTGATAAAGTCAACCTGGCAGAGAGATGTTTTCAGCACCCTATACATTACAAATCAATACATTGAAAAATTTACCTTGCGCAATATGAAGTCGACCTGATTCGCTTCACGGCGGTGGGTTGGTGCCACTTCTTCTTCTAAAACAACAGCAGGTGTAACATCGTCCTCGGCGTCGGCAGCGTCCCACTCGGCCTCGTCATCAATGGCAGCTTCAGGCTCGACAGGTGCGGTGGTTTCCAGTTCCAGTTCATCGACATCGTGGTCAGGTAAAGCATCCTCATCTTCTTTCATTTCTTCTTCTGCTTCATCTACTTCTTCAATTGTACCAATGCTAGGAAAAACACCACGAGCAGCTGATTTGACTTTAGCTGGAGGCGGTGCTTTGATGCCAAGTTCAGCTAGCCCGGCGTTAACAATAAGGGCCAGTTTATGACAAAAACAAAAAATATGCATTTTGTTGGGGTCCCATTTATACTCAATACCGTGTTTTGGTGGTTGTGATGAAAACTGGCGATGCATCTCAGATGCCATCGTCTTGTTGTTGGAACCTGAGTCGGTGGTTTGGCAGAGGATGTGAGGACAAATAAGCGTAAGTATATGAATGATTACAACATTAGATATCATCATTATATAAAGATATTCTGAAGTACTTATCTTTTGAAAGATATCGTGCTTGACCAAGAGATTAACAATGGGTTTGGCCAACCATGGCCCGTGATGGTGCCAAGCTACAACTTTCAAGGTGACATGGCGGACATGATAAGTCCACTTCGGGTCAATAAAAGTGACCGAAGCTCCAATAAAAGCGTGGCGGTTCCCTTTGCTTGTCCAGCCGTCGTGGACGAGGTTGAAGCGCGAAGATAAGTCCTGACAAATAAAGCTAGTAAGCATAATAACCAGATAGATGAGAGATGAACGAGAAATGAAGAATTGACTTACTTTAAGTTCCTTGAATACATTTTGTTTCAAAGAAGAATTGATTTGTCGGGATTCGGTAGCCGCCCATTTGCGACCATACAAACGGGCATCTGGTCTAAGATAGCACACCATCGCTCGCAGGATTGTATCCTCGACTCGAGTCCAGGGAAGGGCATGCCGGATCAACCAGGTGCAAGCCATCTGGTTGAAGGTGATGTTGTTGAATTTGGTACCCGGGGTAACGGTGACAAACTTATCTAAGCCACCTTTCTTCCTTTCAGCTATACGCTTTTCTGCCACCAATAATGGGACGTGGACAGTTCCAGACTCGCGTGCTTTGAGTCGTCCTTCACAACCGACTTCGGAACGACCTCCAGTACTGTATCCGTCACGATGAGTCCGAAGGCTTCCTGTCATGTTGCTGTAGCTAACACGAACAGGATCATCCTTGTCTCTCTTGCAAAACAAACAGGGGTAACAGAGGGGTGGTTTCGATTGATCCTTCAGGAAAAATTGATATCAGTTCCTAGAAATAATATGGGAGAAGGAGAGAAAACCAACTTACGTCACCAGGTTTACGAAAGGGCTTCCCATAATATGCCCGAAGTTTCGCTAGGTCACTTTCTGGATGCTCAACCTTGTGTCGCTTTCGTGGCTGATCCACTACCTCCACGTCAGAATCAGCCCTCAGGGTTGTCTTCGTCACGTTGGCCGAGATACGCTGAAAACAATATTAACAATTCATCAGACCAGTGACCAGCTTACATAGATAGAAATATCTAAAAGAACTCACTTCATCATCTGATGCCGTTGGTGCGGATGCAGAGGCCTTCGACTTTTGGGGCTTAGCCTTGGGCAATGGGGCCACTTTCTTCTTGTGCTTCGCGGCAGTATTATGAACACTGAGAATGGATGTGTCAGAATCGATATCTTGGCTTGGTTCCCTGCGTTTCGAAGTCTTAGGAGCATATGACGTGTCAGAATCCCGGGTCCTCATCTTGACTTGCTGGCTTGTGGCGTTTTGAGGTGGTAGTACTAGGACGGTCGGCACTGACTCGACGACGACAGTCAGGTGATGACGAGATCATTCCGGGGTGTTCGGTTTGCTTTCTTTTACGAGAAGGTCTTGATGGGGTATCGGTTTCAGTAGCATGTGAAGTATAAGGTAGTATTGATTGAGAGGACATGGTGATCTGATTTAACAAATGTTTAGATGGTTTGATAGAAAACGGAGGTAAGTTGATGGAGTTTGATGGAAAGATAGATCGCAACGATGATATGAAAGAAGATCAGGTGATCAGAAGACGGGAGGATCACTTAGTCAGAAAAAATATTTGATGAAGGGCGGTAGGGGAGTGATAGGCTCTTACACAATCAAAAGCCATCTTTATCATCCCTGGCATAGTCATCCCCTGGCTGATTCTCTTCAGCGTTAGATGAAACCGTGGTGCGTGATCGAAGCGGCGAAAATTCGTCTCCATTGGGTGGTGGTACGGTGCTAGGTGGTGATGCGATGTGATGAACGAGGGAACTACTTGCCCGTTTTGGCAAACTGCGAGAAAGATACCCGGGGCTGGGACAGGGCCGCAACAGGCGCAGCTGTTGCGGTTTCAGGGCCCGCAAACCATGTTACGTTGCGGTTTCAAAAAAGTGTAAAATTCGAGTACCTTGATGCGGTACGGGGGAAACCGCAACAAATAAGGCGCAACAACGGTGCGTGGCGGGGCCAAAAAACCGCAACGCCGCGCACAGCAACACGCAACATTGCTGTTGCTGGCGCAGGGTTGGAGGAAGTGGCTATATATAATGTTTCGTTTCATATTCTGACATATATGAATAAGTCTTACATGCTAAGAATTTCAATCTTGTTTTAGGGTGCTTGTGAATCAAATGTTCTAGTTTCCTCAAAAGATTTCAATCTATACAATCAAAATCCTTGAAGTAATCACACTCATCTTCTTAGTGACAAACTTACTAGAATCGGATTTTTTGATTAGATTACTTTGAATTTCACCTGCTTCTAACCCTTGTTATTTAATTGAAATACTTTATGAAAATTTATGTTATCCAAAATCAAATAGTCTGATTCAAAACGATGAACACAATTGTTTTTTGTATTTATCAAGTTAGGTCACCTTTTTCTAAAACACCTATCCTTTCATCTGAGTAGCAAATTAGCTCATTGAAAAGAAGGATGACCTTTTTTCTTTGTTCGCCTACCAAGCCCAATGATCAATTGGGATTGACCCATTTAAATTGTGATCATCAGATTCAAAATGGTTTTTTTTCATTGTTATTTGTCCTGTGAGGATTTGTGGATCTTCAAAGTCCCTAGTTTGAAAATGTTGGTCAAAAGGTGTTCAATTGAAGCCACACGATTGTGGTTTTCTTTGCAAAAAAAAGGTGATGTGACGATATTACATAAAAAGAAAGGGGCACCATTCAAGTTATGCAAATGCTATCCAAGTACCCTAGAGAGGCCCAAAATCATGTGGTCTGAGACAAGCCCGAGGGCTCCAGTTTTCCTGTGACTTTGAACTGCTCCAAACCTGGGATTTGAACCCAGGAGCATTCTTCTTAGCCCTGACACCGCGTGCAATGACATGTCGCTTTCGGCCCTGCGACATCTTGTTGCTGCCCCGGGTAATACATACATCTGTCGTGCAACAGGGCCAAATTTCGCCGCAACACTACATGTGTCATGCGACTGACACAGTCCAAATGCAACATTCACACGCTACACTGCGACATCGGGGCATTTGACCAGTTCACCTGCAACATCGGAGTTTGGACTAGCCCCTCTTGGCTTCAACTCATTCGACTCCTTGATCAGGACCACTTCCCAGGACCCTTTCTACTTGACCTTGTCATCATCGCCCTTTACGCTACATCCAGGCTTGTTACTTGCGGTCAATCATCCGCAGCCAAGGATCGCGTTTCACTTGGTGAATCCTTTTGAAGCGAACATTCCAACCTATCCCAACCCACAGCTCGGCACCAGCCAAGACAAGCGCCACCATTGTTTGGCCATTCACATTTGATCAGTTGGCTCCGTGTATCTGGATAGGAGGCTAGGACAAAAGTACGCACCAGCTCCCACGGATCCATACCCCCTTCATGTTTAACCAAGTAAGTACCCTTTGACCAACCGTACGCTTTTTGAAAAGCTATAAAGAGACTGATGTTCCTTCTTTCCTTTGCCCCTCAAACCACAAACCTTGCATGGTTCACCAAATTATCTTACATCCGAAATCATACTTCAATTTACTCGTCTTATCCACCTCACTCGTTCCTTGATCCTATTCTTTGTTGTTCTTCATTATTTTTTCGCTCTCGTCAACAAATCATCATGGATTCTGCAATGGACAACGCCAACTCTGCCGCCCCGGCCAGTAGAGACATCTCTGATATCATCGCTGACGCCTTGAAGCAACAAGCCTCTCAGTTCAAGACTATCGTTGGAAATCTTCAAACCCAGATCTTGACTTTGAATGTGAAGAAGCCTTCTACCCCCAAAGAGAAGCAAAAGGCGTCATCCTCCGCTCCTTTGACTCCTTTGCCAGCTCGTAAAAGTCCCGGCAGCTCCGCTAGGAAGACTTCAGCTTCGAAGCCTCCCAAAAAACCATCCACCCCGATTCGTAAGAAGCATCCCCTCCAAATAACTCTTGACGACACACCCACCGATTTCAAGTCTTGCAAGGTATGTTACTTTGCAAATCCCCCAGCCCTTGTCATTTTATGTTAACAATATTGCTTTCATTGTTAATTCATAGGAAGCGCTCTATGTCCACATCAAGATGATGTGGGGACTTTACAAGCAGAGTGATGTTCCACCAACCCCCAACACGGTCATGTTGAGAGAATTTTATGATAAGTTCAACAGCTCCGATGAAATCGAAGCCGTTGTCAATAATCCACGCAGCACCGACCTCATTGCTCGCGAGTCCATCAGCTCTTTGAAAGAATTCCGAGCAGGTGGCGGTAAGATGTCACGTGGCCTCGGACACATTGATGAGATGTCTATACTTTACATCAGCGGCCTCCTCGCAAAGGTCGGCATCCGAGCCTGGGCTCCCAACCTTGATGATGCTCCCGACTCCCTCTACAACTCGGCCTGTCGAATTACCTGTCTTAACGCCTTCCGTCAACTCCTAGCCTCCGGTACCTACAACTACATGGACGTTAATCTTAGACACGTTGATTCTGCCTCTCATATGTTTTCTGCATACAATCATTATGTTCATTTTGTGATGGCAGCAAGGTACAAGACTGAGAAAAATAACGTGGGTGCTATGGCTAAGGAAAGTGCTAGCAAGAACATTCAAAAATACAGAGAAAGAGTAAGTCTATCTGCTAATTTTTGTCAGATTTTAATTTTCCTGACCTCTTTTGTCTTCTCAGCTCCGTGATCAAAGGGTCGAGTTCTTCAAACAACACAAAGCGAAATTCCCCCCTCGCTACAGAGCCCTCTGCGAAGACACCCTGGCTCACAGCGATGACGAATATGACCCCATCAAGAAAGTTCGAGTCATCAAAACCCTTGGTTATCGCTCTAAGAACGCTTCGAAGTTTTTCCAAAGACTTGATGTCGAAATGGCCAAGCAGGCTCAGGTCACCAAGAATGCAGTTAAGAAGACCCGCCGGGTATTGCCAATGGTACCAGTCCCTTCCACATTCACTCGAGCTCCTACCAACCTTCCAATCGACTTTTACGACCCCAAATGGTTCAGAGCCCTGGGTCCTGGTCAAAGACGTCTCATGGCCAATGCTGAGGCAGTTTGTTTCCTCCCAAATGCTGCCGACTCGCTCCTTCCTCATTGCCACCCCGATGAAATCCTTGGTGATGCAAGGTTTTCTGCTAAGTATCTCGATGCCCTTTTGGAAGCTTACAACTTATCTGATGACGAGGAGGACAACGTTGAAGATGAAGAGGAGGAAATTGACTATGGTGATGAAGAAATCGGTAGTGATGGAGTTGTAGAAGACGAGGAGGATGAGTTCTATGCGGAGGGTGACTATGGTGGCTTGTATGATGACGACTCTGATGAGGAGGACGAGGGGCCTGTTGCAAGCGGGAGCGGTTCTAATTAGTGCAGTGGCCTCATGCACTCTGTCTCTCCGATGTTTTCTTGACTCCGTATCCCCAGTGTTTCCTTGATTATCTCTAAATAAAATCCAAAAAAATCGTATGTGATAATATTAAAGTACAAAAACATGCACCCACATCCCCTTCCCCCAGTTCGATTGTGAACACATAATCTTTGTACTAAACTCCAAAAAAATCTTGTGTGATAAAATTTAAATCCAAAAACACGCCTTTTGTTCTTTCTCTTATATGTGCATAAAATAAATGGTCATTGATTGGTTCTTTTTTGGAGTGCTGCTTTGCCAAAAAAATGAGTGTCACGGAACATCAAACAAACATGGTATAGAAATGAGATTTCTTAAGAGCCTTTGATAAACGAGTGGAAAATTTCAAGAAACATGGGATAGTTAAAAAAGAAAGTTCACAGGAAAAATGATGACAAATAAACTGATGATTCAAAAGATGACAAAGACGAAAAGTCAACGCTTCAGATAGGCGGATCCGTTTGGGATCCAGGTGTCAAGGCAATAAAAAGAAGGCCAAATGAAATCCACAGCGAAGCCTTTCTCGGCCGCGGTCAAAGTGGCCCAATGTTGTTCACATATATTGCTGAAAAAGTTGGTATCGTATATGTAGAGGTTTGTGATCAAGTGTGCCAGGTCTGGGCGAGCCTGTGCAATGATATTGAGTTTGATCAATGCGACTACGCCACTGACTCAAATTTGCCTCCATAATCTACCAAAGAAAAATTATTATCATGCAAGTGATAATCCTGAGTAAGACTAACATCACCTGGTAGGTTGCACCCAAAACGTGCTGTACTCACCTTCTTATAGAAGGCAAGCACAGCCAACCTTAACCTAACCAGGAGAGTTCTAGTTCGAACTCTCCACAACCTAGTCATCATCTTACCACAAAGAATAGCATGGACCAGGGAGCCATGACCAACTGATGCAGCCTTTTAGATGCCATCCCTGTCAAATTTTGATGGTCTCAGAGAACAGGCTAAGTCCAAGGTTTCTCTCAACTGTTGCCACGTCAGTATGTTAGGCTCAAAGCATATTGCACTTTATTCCACTCAATGGCTTCCAGCTAACTCAACCAAGTCCCTCCTGTCAGACACTTTTTCCCTGCAAGTGCAGGTATCTGGAGAAGATTATCAGGCTTCCTTGGTGAGCAAGCAGGGTATTCAAAATTTGAGTTTGCCATAGAGGTTTTTCAAAAGCCATAAAAACTCCCACTTCCACTCAATTGACCCCCGTTCCCATTTGAATTTGGACCACCTGAGCCCATTGTCATCAAATCTGCCTATTCAGATTGTTTGCACCTTATCATAAGCTTCCTCAAGAAAGGAAGAAAGTTTTATCAAGTTGAATTTTGGCTGTATGCATTGTGTACATTTTGGAAACAAGGCGCACAAACACCCTCTATATCACAATCCTCTCGGTCTTCCAAGAGGACAAATACTTGATGAAGAAACTATTTCAACAGGCAAATTGATTTCATAGATTTGAAGATTTGCTCTTGTCATAACTGGACTATTGAATCAACCACAGTATAAACCACAGCAGGTGCGAAGGTGTGGAATTGTAGAGCTTTGTAGGCCCCTGGCCACTCACCAAAAAGTGGCAGACAATCCACAAGTCTCTCTCCAGGGCACAAAGCTCGCAACGGTCAAGGGACCAGAATTCAGGATGTCTTGAGCAAGGGCTTCCACGTATCTACCCATCGCTCCAGTATGTGAAAGGGATTCTAAATGCACAAACACAAGAACCGGATCTTTTGCCGTACCCACATGTAATGAGATTCGCACGTTATGGAAAGTTGTCATTAAACATGTCGACAGGCAACAAATGTCAAAGTATTACACAAGACAGCACGCGAGGTAGCTATTGGGCGCTGAGTCTTTCAAGTGAGAGTTGAACGCAGAATACTCGGAACTCGAATGACTCGGAGGTGAAGGGCATCATAGGCAAAGGTTATGGGCATTCGAGGCACAAGAAGTACAAGAGTTGATTCATAAAGCATATGCATTTCAACGCCACGATTATCGAACAAGGATACCTATCATGATTACAGTAGAAGTCGAGTTTGTCAGGGGAGTACATGCAGGATGTTAAGAGAGCCAGCGACATACCATCGAAGCGAGATCGGAACCAGGTCATAGTGTCTTCCTTTTTGACTTTGTGTTTGTATCCAACACGGGCTGTGGCATGCTTGCGTCGAGCCACTCGGAAGCCAGGTCGACCCATGACAACGTAGAAGTCCATACCAAAGATACTATTGAAGCAATACAACCTTGAGCTAAGAACGCGATCAGATCCAATCAAAATCAACCCACCCAATTCCAGGGTCGTATTTGATACCCAAATCAATGTGTTCAGTGATACCGAAGCCAAAGTTTCCGGTCTCAGAGAAGTTTCGCTTCCGTAGTTCATACTCCTTCACTTTGAGTCCACGTTCCAAGATTTCCTCAGCTTTAGGGCCTCGGATAGTGACATGGCAGGCGATCTTTTCATTTCTTCGAATACCAAATGAACGAACAGTGTAACGAGCTTTGGAAGTCACAGGGGTTTGACCGGTAAGTTGTTCCAAAACCTAGTAGAAAACGCGGATGACTTGATTAGTCTTTAGCTAAATAGACTAATGACGCAAAGGGATGTACTTTTGATGCTCGGGTCAATCGATCTCCAGATTCACCGACCGAGATATCTGTGTGATTTATGAATATGAGTGATAAGATAATTTTGTTGTGAGTTTGGTACTTTGGTACTGACTGATGACGAGCTTTTCGATTTTGAGCTCTCGCATGGGGTTGGTCTTCGTGTCGGCCTGAAAGTGTTGAGCATTGTTAGGAGGGCACGTAGGTGAGATAGGACGTTTTGCAGGGAGAGGGGACATGAACTGACCATTGTGTTTGCTGGCGAAGGCCCGGATAGTCGTGTTACAGTCGATAAAGGGGAAATTGCAATAGCAGGTGCTCAGTGAGCGCCCATACCGATACTTTTCATGAGTCTCATCAGGTTATGGTTAGGGTTAGATCACACGTACCTGATCAATGGGCTTCGGTATCGCGCCGCGTACCCGAGTCGATACCGGGGACTTGGATACCCGGACCCTTCCTTGCTTCAATTCTGATGTCGTTGATTCGAGGCCAAATCGTCATCAAAAAAAAGCAGCTCAAAATCTCTCGCGAAGAACATCACAGGAAAGACAAACCTCTTATCTTAAGCATGTTGAATTGCACCGTCATGGTCGCTTTCCTTCGGCCTTTCTTTAGAATTTCTCCTTGAAGACCGTTGGTGTACCCGAGGCAAATTGAGTTGCATTTTCATCATCAGGCCATGAGCGTGAAAGTACAATTCAGAATATCGACCCTCTACAGCGAACTGGGCAGTGAAAAGTACATTCAAGCACCATAACTCAACCAGGGATATATGTCGGATATGTATACCTTGTTGAGTCGAAGCGAAAAATACCGAGGTGCATCATTGCTGTGAGGCAGGTGTGTCCACCGTAGTCCCAAGCTCACAGAGTTGGAGCCATTTCCCAAATGGTTTAACAATATCCCCTCAAAACGTAGTAAGGTTGTATGGTAATATTTCTTGACTTGAAGTGAAGGAAGATGAAACGACAGACTCAAGCGTTGGCACTTGTTGAAATCATTCATCAAAACACAAAACAGGTCAAGAGTTACGTCTCGCAGCTTACCCATGTACAACATAATAAACTTCAGATTACTCAATCTCCACTTGCGCGTCGATAAAAACCCCTTAGCAAAAAGCAGCATTGGAGTAAAAAAGTGACAAGTGGACAAACAAAGCAAACAACACATCAGAACTTCAGTGACCTAATTCAGCAACCAGTTGAATTTCATTAATGACCATATCCACCGCTATCTATCATACCTTAATAATTTGTTAATATATATATATATATATATATATGTCACATTTCTTTTGTCTTCAGAAAACATGTTATTCAATAATAAAAATCTACTTAACAAGTTAAAGAAACTAATCATGATTGATTCCAGCAAACACTTTCACTTCTGTATTCTAAACAAAATGAAAATCAATCAAATCAAATCTCCTTCACCTTCTATTCTTCCTTCATTCACTAGATATATATATGTGAGAAGTCTGAGACCAACAAAAAAACGACTCATAAAAAAGAGTGATAAGAAAAACTATAATACATCAATGACAAACAAAAAATCAATATTCTTCAAAAAAGAAGCATGCCAAAAAAAGTCAAATTGAAACTTGGATAGTGAAGTCCTCTTCATCAATCACCTCCCAAAATCAATTTCCAAACCCTCTGTTCATCTTCCTCATCTTCCACTACTGTCTTACGACGTCCTCCGTCATGTACAACATTCACCTTAGATGGCTTTCTAGAACGATATGGACCTGGGATTGCTGGAAATAAACCTGATGCAGTCGATGCCCTGTTAGAAGTCACATCCTTCCGGAATTTGTTCATAATCATCATCACATCATCATCACTTCTTCCTTCCGAAACCCCAATCGCTCCGTTATCGCTACCACTGCTACTGCTACTAGCCATACTGCTCCGACAATGCCCCTGATCGCTAGGGCATCCAGTGATGTCCAAGAAAGACTGATCCAGCGCTTTTGACTTGGTGGGGGCGGCACAACTACGACGGTTCATCTTTTCGCCATGGGATAAGGAATTAGTTTCAGAAGGTTGTTCCCAGATTGAAGACTCAGGGCGATCATAAAGATCAAATATAGAGGCTGCGTAATCACTTCTCGTGTCATCGTGATTCTGGGCAGTTACCATCAAGTTGCTTGGATCCGCAACGCCTACTCCATCAAGATCTTGGGGTAATATTGGGAAGGAGGCATGCAAGCGAGCAGGATTTGATGGATTACAAGGCACTGCGTTCGGTGGGAGCGTGTCCTGCGCAGGCGAATCATCGACGAAAGCTGACTGCTTGCTGGGTTTGGAGATTGATCGTGTGAATATCTCAGAATCCTGTGTCTGAGGAAACAGAGAAGAATTGTCGCCGGCTGAACAAGATCTGTCGAATGGCGCCTCATGATCCAAAATGGCACGTCCTTTGCCTTTGGCCGCGGCCGAATGGTAAACCCACCTCTCCTCCCCATCCAGAGTCGTCTCCAGAATAGATCCAGCTCTCTCCTTCGTCACGCCTAAATCGGCACCTTGTTGTAATGGCAAACCCAAATCACTGAGTAGACGCTGTACGGAGTCTGTTGACGGTCGTTTTTCGCTAACGGAACCACCTAAGACCTGCGGAGGTTTCAGTGTTCCCTCCGCTTGAGAAGAGTCAGCAGTCATATGCTCGGAGCTGTCATTGGTCCACCTGGCCCTCAGTTTCCCACCCTTAGTGTTATCTCTGATGGATCCGGGTACTTTCATGATCTTTAAGGGCGCAACAGCTTCAATTGCTTCAGATCGGACATCCACCCAATCTGAGCCAAAGGGATCCTTGGCAATATCTTGAGACTCCTGTTTGACTTCAGCTGTCGCGCCTTCCCATATCGGATGCCGGGAACCCAGGTCAATACCCTGCAAAGATGGAACGCGAGGAAGAGCCGGTAAAGAAGGTGTCGCAGGTTTAGACTGAGCGCGAGAAGTCAAAAGCCGGCGGAGTGATTGCTTCAATGTGCCGTCTGAGTGACCGAGAGAATTGCTTTGGGTTTTGCTAAACCTTTCAACTCCGTGGACTTCATCTATATCTCTTGAACTAGGCCGTTGGGGAGAGCTGATGTTGGGCGATAGAGTAGTGGGAATGGCTGGACTGGCCGTCGCTGAAGCGTTATGATCATATTCTGAGGTGATAGAAGGCCACCCGGTGCTAACCTGAGCCTGCACGGTTGAATGGCCCGATGGGTCCTCAAGCGGTGTGCTGACCCCATCACTCGGCTTCTTCTTCCTTAACCTAAGCTTAAAACTGGCTCTAGTAGATCCGCGTTTTCGATCGTCCGTCTCCGGAGAATTTGCTTGCGCATTCGCCCGAAGGACCAAAGCGGCTTGGTCAAGTTCCAAGCTGGCCAAATTAGCCGATGCGGAAACCAACTGAGGTGCCCCGATCTGTGCCCTGCTGATGGACTTTTTCTTCTTGATATCTTTCTTCAACTTGGGTCCAGATTCCTTTTTGACCGTGCCGTCACTCCCCGGAAGCTCGCGTGGCAAAGTAGCAGCACATCTCAAGGCGGCATTTGCAGCGACGGCTTGAGCCTCGACATCGCGAAACAAAAGCGTGGTGGGTACCGGCCTGTTTGCACGCCCCGGTTGAGCCCTTTTAGGCCACACTACCGTCGGCACGGCATCTTCTGCTTCTGACTTCATCGGCGGGTCAGCGTCAACGTCATCGACCGAAGGGTATGTAGGATCGGTAACAAGCGGTTGGGCTTCTTCTTTGACATCTGGAAGAGGGCAGACTTGATGGATTCCGAGGTGCTTATCCACGTCTGTGAGTGCATAAAATCGACGTCAGAGAAGTAGAGATCACAAGGGGCACAATGAGGACATACCATTGGAAGAAAAACTGTCATAGACTAGCAGATTCTGATGGCGAGGATTGGGATCCGACTCCTGCGACAGGACCGGCGTGATTGGAAAGGAATGTGATTCGGGAGTGAGTGCTGGAGACACGCTGGATGATACCAACGGTGGCACGCCGTTAGAGCGATGGCGCATACTGGAAGAGGAAGACACTGATGAGACCCTGATGAAGGGGTCTGATGAAGGTGAAGAGCTTTCGGCTGATTGGCTCGCTGATCTCATTCGATGGCATGATCCGATCCCGCGCGAGAGTTTAGTGGTCGAAACTTGCTTTCGGAATGAACTAGAACGAGTAGGTCGCGCGATATTGGTGGAGTGGGATGCAATACGAGGACTACCGCGAGAGGCGGTCGATTGTGACTTGCTTCGACCAAGAGAATTCTTAGGCGGCAACGAAGGCTCGTTAGCACAAGGAATCCGAGAGGATACATTGGTAGAGGAGGCTGGAGCGGATGCTACCAGAGTTTCTTGTATCGCAATTAGGTCGGAATATCGGATGTTCGAGTCGGTAAACAGCTGATCACGATTGATACTTTCACAGGAGAGAACAGCGTCGGGGAAAATGCCCGCGTCAAGAGAGGTCTTGAGGTCTTTTGCCTGTGCTCCTTCACCAAAGGTAGTGAAATCGAAACACATCAAAGTATTACGTTCATGTTCGTCATATGAGCCATGAAAACACGAAGATATAGCAGTTGATGACCTAGTCGATGTGAGGGATGATTGACTGGATTGACGCTCGCGAGATGAGGCACAAGAGTATACTGGATCAGAATCAATGGACGATGTCGGATCCGGTCTGAAGTCGTCGGAACATCGTAAAGACGAGTCTGTCGTCATGAGACTTGGTGAGGCCGAAGCCGAAGTGGGCGTCGTTGAAAGTGCTTTTAAAAGTTCATCGTGTACCCTTGATTCGGCTGAATTGCTGCCATGAGCGTTCTGCTCGAGATAAATTGATGGTGAGTGGGTGAGGTTTCGAGGAGATTCGTTGGATTGACCTGACGCTGAGCCAGAACAGATGTATTCGCTAGTGGATGAAGAAGTAGGGCGCATGTTGGGAGCAGATATAGGGGATGCCAAATGATCACCCAAAATGCGGTCCAGTGCCATAGAGATACGCTGAAGCCGAACGGGACTAAGAACGAGCTCCTCTTCGTCGTCGTCTTCTGAGGTATGATTTGTAGATTGCTCTTCAGGCTGCTGAGTGACAGAGGTAGAGGTAGGTTCAATAGAGGGGTAGTCAGAAAATCCGGGTTCCTCTGAGATGATTGGCTCCTTCGGGAGTCGAGTCACGCCTCTAATGAACTTCTCTTTCGAGGCAGAAGATGTCTTGAATTCTTTTTGTAAATAAGCAATATCACGTTCTGAAGATGAGCCGAAGAAAGGGCGGCTGCCCGAGCTAGTTTTTATTGGGGAGGCGCTGGGCGGGAGGTGATCAGTTGACTTTGACACTGCGGTATGTGAGTCTGAAGGTTCTTCTTCGTATGTTGTAGTATGTTTTGTCAATTCTTGCAAAATCAAGTTCTCTTCCGAGCGAGTGAGTTGACCCCTCTCACGTTGATATCTACGCGGAGCACAAGGGTAATAGAAAGAAAGATTTAGAACTTCATCCACTAGACTATGGAATCAAGGAAACGAGAACAAGGCTATATTTAATGTGAAAGTGAGATGATTTAGACAAACTCAAGGTGTTGTTGAACGGTTCCAATCGGTAAAAACCCGCCAGCGTTGTTACGAAGTAATGTGAACCGACGCGAGAGATCGGGCTACAATTGGGATGATTAGGAATGCAGTCCAAAAACAAATACCAGAGGAAGTTTGTCAGCAAGGGCGTATCCAGAATTACCGAAAGGAGACAAAGGGGGTGATATGGGAGAAATATTTTAAAATGGCTCAACGGAGGCAGGGAGAAAGTATAAGAAAAGGGGATTGAGAGTGAATGTGGAGACGATGACAAAGTATTGAGGGGAGCGCAATCGATAGTAGAGTAGATAAACAGCACGCAGTGTGGATGGTGCAGTCAGTGGCTATCGTTGCTTGTTGAGTACGAAGGCGAGGGTGAGGCGCTGTCTGGTGTAGGATTGATGATGAGCAATGGATAGAAGTGGTAAATCATCAACCCGATTGACTGCGCCAGACTGAAGGTTGAGAATATGTACACGCTGAATTCAAAATTAAGAGTATATCACTCTAGATTGATATGATACGATCAAATAAAAATAAGTTTAACCGTGACCGTACTCGAGAGTTGCCCAAACAATCAAAAGACTAGGGAAGTGGGATAGGAATATGTCAAAGCTTTCGATCAAGACTAAAATGAACTGTACCAATCATAATATGAATCACAAGATCAAATGAAACGAAACACTAGATCACAGAGATCATGGATCAGCTGAAGGTGAGAAAAGCAGTAAACCGACTTGATAGAAGTTGAGAATGCTATAGACCAAGTGAGAGATTCAGAAAGATAGATACCCAGCGAGAAAGACAGAGTCGAAGCAAGTCGGAGCGATGGGTGGGGTGTAAAACAAATTCAAACCGAAAGAAGGTAAAGTAAAGCAACTGACCATGATTCGAAAGTTATCATTGAAAGATAATTCCAAGACTGGTAAAGGAGATTTGACTTCATGCTCGATGGATTGTTGACTACCTTTTGACTTGTGCTTTGATGATAATAAATACTTCATTCTGATCAAATTGGCTTGAAATCGATGTAAAATTAATTAAAAAGATATGTAAAGGATAACGATGAGGAATGCTCAAGTTAAAAAGATATCATCACAAAACTAAAAGATCGAATTTGATGAAGACTATAAGGGATCCTGAGTTCATGAACGATGATAATGATAAAGAATTAATGTCGGTATGTATGTGTCAATCCCTCGCGTCCTGGTTCAGGTTGGTGTTCTTTCAGATGGTATTTTTGTGATTAATTTGCTGACAGCTGAATGAAATTGAATCGAGTTTGATGGGTATTGAAATTTGAAAGGCTGTACTTTTTCAAAGTGTAATTTAAGAATCTTAAAAATTCAATCCATAATTCAATTCCTTCAATTCACCAAGGCTAGCGAATTCAAACCAACCAAAAAAACAATGACAGGCTGAGATTGAGAAATTCCAGACGACAACTTGTACGTAAGCATGCATCCCACACTTTTTTCAAATTTCAATCAATATCAAATCACTTTTCACTTTTCACAATCAGCTTTTTGAGAACTTTTGATTTCACTTTTTGTACCTACAGGTTACAGCTGTTTCAACAAAGATTGTTTTTTTTTGAAAATCTCGCCAATGTGCAAAAGCCGGGTTTTGTCCTGTTTTGTCCCTCACTCAATTTTGTCTCTCCGCTAATTGGAAGAATACAGAAAAGAATAAACCTGTAAATCAAGTTTTGTCTCTGGTTTTACCCGCTGCGGAGACAACTTTCTCCAAAAAAAGTTGTCAACCTTTCTTGAAACGGCTGTATATTAGGGCGGTTCAAGAAGAGAACCGCGAGCAACGTGGTTGCCGAGTCGCGATCAGTCTTTTTAAGGTTGCTCAATCCTTAAAAAGCTTGATCGCAAAGCGGCGAATGCTGTAAACTTACGTTTTACAGCTTTGTAAATTCAGGAACACAGTCCCAACCGGTCTTTTTTTGGCTTTGTTTTCTTTTTTGTTTTCTTGTGTTTTTGTACAGAATTTTTGTTAATGAAAGAGGAAGCCATCAAGAAAAAAAATACGAGAAAACGAGGTCCTTTCTTGACCAAAAATTGTCAGAATCCAGGAACAAAAAAAAGAAAGAATGTAAGTAATTCTTTTTTTCGGCTCAATTGTCCCTGTCTTTTGGAAATTCAGGGACAGAATTTAAAAATTTTAAAGGCCGATTACGAGATCGCCAAACCGTGAACCACCTCTAAAGGTGGTTCACGACCTTAAAATTTTACTTAAAATTTACAGACCCCGAACAAGATGTAAAATATAAAAAAGGGCTGTAAAAGCCCTTCTTGAACCGCCCTCTAGTGCTTTTACTTTCACAATTTTAAGTCTGTCTGGGTTTTGATCATGGTTAAAACCAATCTTAAGCTATACAACAGATAAGTCTAAGGGCACATGGGATGACTTAGGGGCAAGATCGGACGAGTAGCCGAGTTGAGTCTTTCCAGGTCAGTCTTTCCTCCACTTCTCCTCTGATTCCGTGAAACGGCAGGAACTAGCACGAACTACATACTTTCTACGTACAATTCAAAAGCATTTGATGAATTAAATTGGTGACAATCCCGAAGGTTCCGTATATTGAAATCTCACAAAGCAACATAAGCTGCAATAAGGTCAAGGTCAACTGATCATAAATATTACACATTGATGAAATGACGGAAATATATGTCACCGCCAGCGGCTCCATTTTATTTTCTGTGAAGAAATGTATCCAAATACATAGGCGGTAGGAGTCTATTGATTGAAATGAATGGGAGATACCTTTCCAAGGTAGGTTGATGAAGGTCAATGTGGAGGCCTGCGGGTCACGTAGTGCTAAAGCATACCTTGCCTTGCAATTATACGTCCAAAGGTCACAATACCACTTGCAAGAGACGCCCATGTCCATGATACTTAGTGGCAAAGGTTACAAGGTTGTTTCTAAGTGAAAAACTTAATACTATTGTGATCCTTTGTAACCACAGCCTTAGAAATAAATTATTAACAAAGGTAGGTTAAGCTACATGTGGTGGTGTGGGGCAAGCCCCATAGAGTTCTGGAGATGGAAAAGGGACTAAGTCTTTCTTCCAGCTCTCTGTCTTCAAGGGGCAAGAACAAAAGATAACAAAAGGTGGGCTTCTCTTGTCAAACACTTGCGGGGGAGAAGAGCCATGAGCCTATGGAAGACCCACCACTTGATACTCCACAATATTATCAGTGGAAGAAAAAGGGTTCTCAATTCTTGTAAATAGCACCCATCACCATTTTGCAAGCTAGAGCCCATCAAAACCTTAGCTGCATTGGCCCCAATTTCCTGCATGTGTATATTTGGCATACAACACCGGCTTTTGCAATGCAACAAGGGCTCTGGGTTTGCAACATCTGTCAATTGCACCACTCTGTACCAAATCCAGCACCCGCTGTCATTTGCTATCTGTACCCTTCAGGCTTTTTTCTCAGTTCTCTATGCAAGGAATCACTCATCTGGCTGATCCTGGCTGATCCTCCCTTCTCTTTTTTTCACACACTGTGGAACTTGAAGCTCAACAACATATTTACAGAGCTCAAAGAGAGATAATCTAATAGTATAACCAACCAATAAAAGTTTCCCAAGAATTCCTCTTTGAAGCACTCAACATAGAAGATCTTGCCAAGTCTTTAGGGATAGAAGAAAAAAAGATAAAACAGGAAACAAAGAAGTATTTTCCCATGGGAAGACTGATTACACTTAATGTAGTTTCAGAGCCAGAGCATAGAAAAAGCACAGATATAATGCCAAAATGATACATTTTGGCTCATTAACTGAGTTAAATACAATTGGTTTTCCCAATCTCTTGTTTCCTATGTAAAGCACCAAAGAAATCATATCAATACTTGCTATATCTACTTCTTCTTGATTTCACGCTCTCAGAGTAGGGTGGGTTGAGGTGCCTATGCTCAATACCTCCACCATTTTCCAGTGGACTACTCTTGCATAGTCTTGGGTTTGGGTGGTTTGGGGGGTCCCTCAGGCTTTGGGGCATTGAGTCTACTGACACTAGGAGCTCAGGCATACTGGCCTCTAACAAGTTCTAGTTAGTAGATGACATCCTGAAGGGGTGATGACCAACGTAGGAAGAGGACAGGTGTGTCAGACCCCGGGATGGAGGGTGGGTTTTTTGAAGAAAGTTACATGAACTTGTGAGGAAGACTGTAGGAAGGTGAATGGTGCAAATAGAAGAACTTGTTGAATTCTTCTGTACAAATTTCAAAGTTCTTCATTTGGGCTACCTAAACCTTAGGGCTCAGGTACCTAGACTCTTTTCACGCTTCCACTCTGGGTCGTAGACCAGTCTCAACCTATGTCCCTTGGTGAACCCATAACAAGTATTATTCCATTCAATCTAATAATCTTAACACAATTAAAGTGTTGTTCCAGTAGAGTCAAAATACAGCAAAACAAGCTCAATACTCTCTCAGAATGTTATTACAGAATGGCAGTGTCATATAAATCACATAAAACAAATTTCTTGTCTGATAGAAGGGCTGGTTTGACTGACTTAGCACTGTTAAAATAAGTTTATACTGATCAGAATAATTAAAGATCCACAAGAGAGTAAGAATAAAGGGAATTTTTCTTTGCTAAAATGCACACAAGTATATATACAAATCAATGAAAGTGGCAAATAGCTCCTAAAAACCCTCTTCACTATCTCAAAAATAATAAAATAAAATAAAATGATAATCTGAGTACAATTTAAGTAAGCAATCCATATATTAACCCTCTTCAATTTTGTCTTCAACTGATTTCTAACACACTACTAATAATCATTGCTCTTCTTATGATGATGATTCATATAGATTGGCTGACATAAACACTTTCTCAATAATAACAGGAATTTCTTGATTAATAATTGATTCAAAATGGACAATGCTTTTTATCTTTGAACAAGTGTTGTGTGATTGATCTTCAAGGATTTATTCATTCATCCTTTTATTCAACTTTAATGATGGATTCAATTGTTATTAACAATATGTGATCTTGTTGATGTGTGATCTTGTTGGCCAAATGTAAAAATCAAAGATATAAACCACTCATAAACCATAACTCATACCAATACAGTTACTACATAACCCATAATTTTACTCTTCAAATCCTCTTTACCCTTTCCACTCGCTCTTTTGTTTGAATCACCTCCAATCACTATGCATATTTAACTGAACTTTTCTTTTTGAATTGTTTTTCTTTGATTTTTCTTTCCACTGAATTAATTAAAACTAAAAACAAACACTTGAGCTATGACTTTGACTTTTGATTGGTACTACCACCATCCTCTGATTGTCACAATGCTTGAGCCAGACCTGACTAGACTAGCCCCTGAACGTTGGAGAGTTCAATGGTCATCTACCATTCTACAAGATCCTGAACAAACACTGAGCAAAATCAACCCACCTTTCTGTTACCAGGAAACATGGGATAACAGGCTGGATTGGGAATGACATGTGTATTACCTGATCAAATTTATTAAAACATGGCCATGACAGGTATAAAGAGAGCCATAGTTTGGCACCAAAGGTGTTTCATCCCACATTCTCTCCCAATTCCATTATTCTTTTACTATGTCACATCACATAGTTCCCAATTTATAAAGCTTTGATTTAACTCCATCCAGTGCTTTTTTTATCATGCAAACCCAAGAACAGCAGCCTACACAGCCTGAAGATATGGAAGCTGAATACAAGATTTGAAACACCCAAGATGCTGCTGCACCCGTCACCAATGTGGTTGTAGTAATCCTTGTTGCCAATAGCCTGAAGCAACAAGTCAGCCAGTTTTGAAGCCATCATAAATGGCCTTTGAAGCCAACTCAATGATTTCAAAGATCTTGGCAACCAATCTGTGAGTAAAAAGAATCCCACCCCCAACACAACTCCAGGCACGTCATCCACTCAAAACCGCATGAAGCCAACACCTTTGTCATCTCAGCATTCTTACTTAACAACTTGGCTGTCTGAGGAGGAAAATGTCTTCAAGAGAATGATGAAGATTTTTTGGATGGTGGTTTACCACCTCTAGATGGTCTGTCTTAGACTTGGACAGCAAACCTGTTGACAGGAGACGCTTGAAAGATGTGAAATGAGTTCCTGTTTGCGTGAAAGTTGAGTGATGCAAAAATAAAAATGAACATAGGTATCTACAAATGGCCAGAGGAAAATATATACGCAGGAAGAAAATTTGTTGATGTGTATGCCTGCAAAACCTTGAGGGTCAGAAGATATATACTCAACTCGCGTACGCAAACAGAAATTAAAAGTGCTCACCTGCCATTTATCTGTTTTGACGCTAGGTGACAAGTTCTTACATCCCATCATTTATCATCGCCTGAATCATTCTACAATGACTGTCTGCATTTTTCTGACTGAACTCATTATCGTAGTTCAAACCGTATGGCCAAAAATGTCCTCCACCGCATGTGATCTGAGAGTCTGGTTTATCTATTTTTCGAAGAAGGCTTGTGGCAGTGTACCACGTTTTTTGTTTACAATTCCTATTGAATCCAGGCGATAGACCGACACCTAAAGTATGCGAAATCTCGTGTAAGGCAGTCCTTTCGTTTTGAAAAGCTGCGTTGGAGCCGAACCTGATTGTCCCTGTGCCTTGACTACCATCTGCTGTACGGACGCTTGGAACATACATGACCTTCAAACTTTTTTCAGCCATCACGAACTTGTTGTATCGCTTCACTGCTGCGTTCATTGAATTTTCGATTGCTACATAGGCAGTGGACTCGTCGGGTGTTGGGTTAGGTTTTTTTTCAAGTGTGAACTTTATGGCGGCAGAGACGAAGCAGCCATGGAAGGCTGTGATAGTCAGGAAATATATGTTCATGTTTGTAGAGTGCTTGATAGAATAACCGGAGCCCTCGACAACGCAGCTTCGAGTTGTAGAGATATCGCGAGTGTGATGATAGAAGTGTGTTCTCTGATCTTTGCCTTGCAGCGCCAGATTGCGGAAAAAGATGACCCTGTTTATGACGAGCAAAAATGATTGTTATCGGGATGAAATCTTAGACTCAACTTCGACCATTACCTCCAAGACCTGATTTGCTTTACGCAATGTCCGCGTGTCGTAACTTCGAAGATTGCTTTGATGCAGGTGCTCCGACCAGGCGAGATTACTCGTCGCGTTGACCATAGCCGGGTTCATTGACGATGAGCTGATGGTGTTTACCAGCGTGTCATCCATCGTCCAGCAGCCGGCTTGAAAATGGTGTAATATGTATGTCCAGGGATTGAACTCATTTTTCATCTCGTTTCATCTGCCTATATCGCGGAGAGGATCATTTGATGTCCGCGAGGCGAAATTGATCGCCTCGGCCAGGAAATTTGACATTCCTTGCCTCAGATCAAAGTCTAGCAATCTTACGGCTCATTGGCACCGTTGAGTGAGCTCAGTCAGTTCTCAGCAGGCCAAGCCATCGTTCCAGCGCACGCTTCACCCCTTATTGAGACGTTCCTCGGCGTCCATCCCGCTATCCCACCCACCAACTATGCCTCGCTTGAATTGAATGCTTTCCATTCCGACGACATGATAAAGTCACCAAAGTTATTTTTGAGGATACGTACGAGTCCATTTTACAAGGAAAACATCCAAACCAAATCAATCTTATCAAATCTGAGAGTTTTACCCTGCATCATTGTAGCCTTGTGGTGTAGTCAAATCATCTAACACTGATCCCTGCTACTCTCCTGTTTGCCGATAATCATCTACCAATCATGTACAACCTCATTTGGGTTCAAGAACAGCGATTTGAAGACTTATGTATGCTTTTTTGAGGTAATACATCAACACATGTGTGTGGACGATATATCAGTATGCTATGACTCAAATTACCTGAACTCAGGTATGTTGAAGCTTGTGTATAAAATGCAAAAGACACAAACACAACTTCAAACTCAGCATGAATTCAGAAACAGACCCTACCTTTCAATGCTTTCAAAGAGAGGAATTTGCGCTCCACACAACTGTGAAAAATTTATGAGCTACTCAGTTTGACGCTCATGTATGTGTGAACTCAACACACCACAGTAGAGCATGCCACGCGCGTAGATGTTGTACAATCCTCATGTAGCAATCTAAATATCATAAGTCGTTCATAGTCTCTCTTGCCTCTTCACAAAATCATCTCTTGTTCTATCAGAAAATATGAAGGGATATCCACCACTTGGAGAAAATAAAACAACCTTGAGTGAGCACTAATATATATAGAACAATCCACTGCATTTACTTCACTCCTGTTTGACAGCTGAGCCATCAACACCCATCACTATGCCTGCATGTGTTTTAAATCTGCAGAAAAAAACATCATCCACAGCCTGATCCTTTTGAGGCTTCTTTCACCCAAATTTTTCCTCTTTTGTTGATCCGCAAATTTTGTGATCCATGTCCGAATCAAAAATATTGACTTTGCACCTTCTTTTCATCCTGAAGGCAGTGGAACTTTATGTACCTAGGATTCAACAGGTCTTTCACATTGAAAGCACTAATCAAACTTGATCACCTCCACAAATTTCAGTCATGTCCTCATTCCAGCGCCACCACCTTCATCTGGCCTAAGTAAGGTTATAGGATATGGATTTGGACTCGATGTTTAACTCGTGCAAGTAGATTGAGATACCGAACACAGATTTCAAGACACAGACGAACACACATACAAAATACAGAGATAAGTGAGACTTTACAAAAAAACAGAAGAAATGAGCTCAGAAGAAAACATTTCGCAAGTTTACTACCGAGTCCTTCTCAAGATAATGATGTATGAAATGGGTGAAACGACAAGAACAAGATAATTCAAAAAGTGAAAAACATGGAAACTGACAGTCAATAGAGCTGCAAAGGTTTAGGATCAAGGACTACATGTACAACCTTCACAGGTTTAAGTCTAGGATCATGGACAATAAAACCTGAGAAACTATGTTTTGACCATTGAATTTGATTAGCTGTCATTGATGACTAAATAAAAAGGAACTCGAAACAAAATTAGACATCCAGTTCTTCAACGCAAACTGATTGTCAAAGAGCATTCAATTTCCAAAAGTGAAAAAACATACAAAACTTTTCATCCTCAAAGGAAGTTCCATCCATTATTGTAACGGAGCCTGAGGTTATTCCAGCTCCAGGCGGAATAGCCATTGTAACTCAATGGATTCCACGTGTTAACAGGGTATGTTAAACAAATGTTGGGTGACAAATTACAGCCTTGAACATAGTATCGAATATTTGCGAACTCGTAGAAAAATTGATTGTCTGAATAAAACAAAGGTTGCTGATTATAGGTTGGACAGTTGTATTGGGAATTCCAAGCGTATAGGTTTTGGTTCCAATTCACATTTTGGCTTGAAGTTATGAAGGATGGATAGGCTTTCAAGTTAATTACAAAAAAAGTCAGTATAACGATGACTCATGATGCATGAAGGATGTCAATGGCATCAAGGATTTGATTTTGAACTTACGACCGGCCATGGCAACGTTGAAGACCATTGCAAAAGCAAGGATGAGCGCAAAGGTGATAAAACGTGGAAACAACATGTTTGGAATTGGTTTAGTTTGATTTGACTTTAGATGGTCACGATGATGAGATGGGGTTTTAAAATTTAGATGATTGGAATCAAGCACGATCTGAGCAATGGATGACCTGCGGATGATTCATACCAGGCCAGAGTCCGCCGAATTTATACCTTTTCCACAGGCAGAGGAGATACTGATGTACGCCCAGTTCGTGAGTCAAGTTGTAACTTCTGAATGGACTTTGCTCTCTTGCTCACTTGAACATCGCCGAGTGGCGGTGTAGAGGCAAAGATACACTGACAGGCGGTGCGTGTGCCCGCTCATGATTGAAATAGAACAGCATCATCGAGAGAGGAGTGAGTTTTTCTATCATGAGTGATCACTGATCAGTCTTGACTCTTGACTCTTGAATCTTGATCGCACCGCTTTGCTTTGACGTGTAGCCCCGCCTAAGCTTAACTAAGCATTCTATTCTCCAATTTCAATTGTGAGTATTTTCAGTCTGCATTTTCATTGACATCAGGTATTTCTATGACGTCATCACCTCCTTTCCACCCTCAACCTCCCTCAACACAAAATGCAAAGGCGAAGAAACACAATGTTCAAAGTCATCATGAGCTTGTGACCAATTTGATCCTCTCGGTGCCTCAGCTTTGTCATCTGATTTAACTAACGGTGGGATCCTTCCACGGATCGTATTTGATACATCAGTGCTTCATCATCTTGCCCTCGACAAACATCCATCATGATTTTGCTGAACAGCCACCGTCACATACAAACAGCTCAAAACATGATCAAATAGAAATCAGCATTATGAAAAGTTCGAGGTTATCAGGCCACTCGATCTTCTTCGAAATCATATTTAAATCACCTGATCAATATATCTGACTCAAAGATCTTTAAGCACACGTTTGAAACTGAGCCAAATATTGCGGACTCCTCCGCCTTCTTGATGGTCAGGTGTATTTGGATTCATATACAACATGGATTCATTTCGACTTGCCGCAAGTGAGGATTTTAACATGTCACGGCATCTTGCTCATCTGTATAAAGCGCATCGACCCCAGTGTAGGGTTAGTGTCCAAGACCTTTGTTAAATGTGAGGGGTGAGGGCGTTGAACGATATATATATATATATCTGTTCAAGAAATGATCAAATAACGTGGTTCTATGTGGTTCAAGGGCTTCATCAAACAAAGTTTCAACAAAGGTCAAAACGAGACAATGATGATGGAACACCAGGGATATCATCTCACATTCAAATGTCTGATATAATCAGAATAAAGCTTGCAAAACTGAATCACAACCCTACTGCAAAGAGCGGTACACGCCCAAAGATACTCAACTCACAAACTCAACGATTTGGTTTCATGTGCTTGCAACGCCTCATGAAAGAAAGTATGAAGAAGGTAAATAAGATACCGATGTATAATTGCCAATTTTATCTCACATAAGTGTGCAGTATGTATATAAGTAATGATCGAGGAAAGGAGCTTTTGAGATTAGAATCATTCAACCTTTATACGACTGTTTTAAGCGTATCATTCAAAGTTTAAACCCTAGTAAATGTGAGGAAGGAACGAGCGCCCAAAGGGTCTTCACTCAAAAAAGGAACCAAGGATTTGGTCCTATACTTTATTCAAGAAAACAAAAAAGTATCAAGAGACAATGTTCTCTAAACAACGATCTCATTCGCTTCGGCACTTTCAAGTATCCAAAAAACGATCAATAGCTAAAGTGTTACTTATTCAAAAAAACTCTGTAATCAAATCAAAACTATCTTATTATACAAAATTTTCTATTAACGAACATCAAGTGCACTAATACTATTATTGTTACCAACAATATTTGAAAAAGTTTTTCTCATTTGATCCCATTCATTTTCTTTAGGTAATGCTAAATCTCCAATATCCTTTTGTTTCAAAAAATCGATTTCAATATTAGTATCTTTTCAAACCAATATAGAAAAAAACCCGGTTTTGTTTATGTGTTTACTTACATATACGTAAACTTTTCCATCACTACTACCAATGGCTACTTTCTTTCCTTCTCTTTTATCCCAAGATAATTTATTCAAACCTTTAGGTTGAGTAGGATTAACAGTAGTAGAAACTGTAGGAACCTAATGAATTTCAATAAATGAAAAAACAATCATTCAATCAAATTTGATCTCTTTCAAAACCCATCATCATCATCATTAATTTTGACTTACTTCAATATCTGTATTTAGATTCCATAGATTGAATTTTCCAGATCCATCCACTGTACCAAAAACAGCAGGATGAGTAGGATGCCATCGAACATCAAAAATATAATCATCCGCTTCTTCAAATGAATGAATAGGTGAAATCGTATTAGATGGATTATTTGATCCTACACCACCAACCCCACCACTACTACCACCCACACCAGATGTGGATGGGGTTTTTGACATATTCCCACCACCGCTTGTGGCTCCAGTAGAATGTCTTGGTCCTGATCTGTTTACTGATGATGTGCTTTCGGTTTCTGTTTTTGTATTATTATTACCTTTTGGCCGCCAAAGTTTCACAGTCCAATCCTGATTTTTACAAAAAAAAATCATTAGTAGAGAAGTTCAATATATATAAATATATTTGAAAAAAGATATTAAAGCTTACCACACCACAAGTTAAAAACAAATCACTAAAATCAACAGGTCCACTCATAGGATGAAAATCGATTCCCAAAATCGGTCCAGAATGACCTTTATAAACTAAATTTTGATTTAAACCTGATTTCAAACCAGCTCTATCGTATCGATTAGCTTCATAAAGGTTACCTTCTTCCGTACCAAACCAAATCGTATTTAATTCTGTTGAAGGTAATCCAAAACAAGTCGGACTCATTTCATCTGTACGATGATGGGTTGGATTGATCACTTCTATCAAATCTTGGGGTTGGGCTAACATATCTAAGACCCATGAGCAGATCGTTCCATCTGTTGAGATTGATAATAAGTTATGCGAGTTTTGGGTTCCTACTATTGATATTGAGTATACTGGATGTGTATGACCAGATGAGGACAGTGGGGTCTTTAGAACGGGTAGTTGCTTCCGTTGTCGGATATCCCACATTAAGATTTGACCAGAGTATGTACCACCTATCACCAGGTTAGGATGAAACGGCGAGAAAGTTACTGAGAGTACATCGGACTAAAATTGCTTGTTGTCAGTTTCCGTGAAAAGTAGCCTCATTCAAATGCAAGAGCTCTTCCAGTCATAAGTGAAGACATACTTGTGAATGAAATGTATATTCTGGTCGATCAAGCAGATGTAAATTCCATATACAGACAATTCCATCAGGTTCATTAATTCCACTAGGATTCTTGTTATAAGAAGCTAAACTAAGTTCATGATTCTGAAAGAGTCCAATAATTTAGAAAATATCCATGTCGAACATATAAATCAAGTTTAGATGATGAAATTACATACTTTAGAAGACCAATCCAAATCAGTAACACTACGATTCTTAAGTAATCTTTCATCATGGAAAACGCAAGTCTGTTTAACCCTTTTCCCTTCCCGATCATCACTAAATATATCTCAAACAAGTGAGTCTTCAATAATTCACACATTGATAAAGTATACTCGAAAGTAAAATCACTCACGCTCCATCTTCATCACCAAAATTAATTGAATAATCTTTTAAATAATCATATCCATCTGATAAAGCACGTTGAATGATTTTAGATGAAGATTCTAAGAAATCGTTAAATTCGGTTGCAGAATATAATGAAGCTAATGTATTTGGATCCAAACCTAACCGAAAAAAATTCAAAACAAAACCAAAGTTAATCAAAGCAAAGATATAACTCTTCGTTAAGAATAATCGATCATTTTCATATAAATTAAGAAAGAAAGGGAAAAAAACCTCTCAACCTATCCTCTTCCAACTCTTTTTCTAATCTACGTTGTTCTTCTTTGATCTCTTTTTCTAATTGAATTCTTTCAGCTTCGATTTCTTTTATTAATCTAATTCTCATTTCATCTTCATTTACATTGTTGATTGTAGTGATTCCATCTTGTCCTTCAATCATCTGAGAGTGAGTGGATGTCGAGATACTGACTGATTCGGTTTGAACTGATTTTTGGTACTGCATTCGGGGCTGAATAAAAAGAAAAGAATCCAATAAATATTAAACCTACGATGCCAGATAGATGGGATGACTGACTTTGGGTTTGAATTCATATAGATCTTGTGATGTATCAGTGAAAGTGGGAAGAGCTGAAAGAGGAGAGCTATTGAATGACATCGATCAAATTTAACACCTCTGATTTAACCATTTCTTGAAGATATCTTGAATAATTATAACTTACGATCCAGTGATGATAGTAGACTCTACGCGATCAAGTGAAGAAGTAGCGTGACTAGGAGAAGCTTCAACCTCTGTACTGGTTATTTGACCACCCGAATGACTATCCTGACTTGATCTTCTACCAATACTAAACCGACCACTTAAACCAAGTCCTCTAGTAGAAGATCCTAAAGGAGCTTGTATTCCAGGAGAAACTAAACCAGAAGAAGCAGATGGAGGACCAGAAGGACTGAGTAAATCGGAAACCAACATATCAATTTCGGCTCGTGTAGGTCGAACATGTTGACTTGAAGTAGTAGATGGTGATGTCTATCAAGTTGTTTAGAGTTTAACTTTAGCACCTTTTTTTAAGAAAGCCTTATAAGACCAAGTTGCACACCGCTGAGCCTGTACCTCGTTCTTCGTCTAATCTATTCTTTCTCTCCTCACGAGCCCGACGAAGTTCGGCTATTATTCAAAAAAATGAAATTATGGGGTAAAGCAAGCAAATCAGTAAAGGTTATGACTGGATGTATGCGTGTTTCATCCTGATTGAACTTACCTAGTTTTGCTCGTTTTTCTTCAATATCTTGTCTTCGTCTATCCATTTTTAGTCAATTTTGAGGTCCTCGTACGTGATGATGGTTTGTTGGTGAAATGACTATAAGTAGCGACAGACCAGTTGCGGGCACCCTTCGAGTGAACTGAAGTGGTATGTGTTGATCGAAATTAAGGTGAACCGAGTTATGTCCAAAACTCAACCTTTAAGTCAAAAATCACACAACTTCGTTAAGTTCAAAGCTAAAAGTTGCGACCATCCACAGGTGACAGCGGACGCTTTGCTCAGCGGCATCAGCCTATATTAGGGCGGTTCAAGTTTGACTTTTAAGGCACATTTTTAGGTTTTAAGACATGCTCGATGTCCTTAAAACAAAACTTATATTTTAAGACGGTGGCTCGGTGATTTATAAATTATAAGTTGACTTACAGCCGTTCTCAATAAGGTTGCTTTTTTTGAATTTTTTTTAGGCGGTTGATGGGAGTTAGGGTTGGATTTTACAGTATTATCAGGCAATAACCCATCGGACCCGATCTCAGTCTCAACTCTCAATCGCATTGACCTCGACCTATCTCAACCTCGACCTCGATCTCATTATCGACTTCATCATCCACCTATAGCCTCTCTCATCTCTCGTACCAACTGGTTCTCCAGATCTCTTTGGACTCTCCACAAATTTGTCAGTACTTCTGGTCAGTCCCAATCTCAATCCTCAATTATTCTTCTTTCGTTTGTTGATTTTATTCTTTCTTCTTCCACAGTGGTTCCCTTCTCGCGATGCCGTTTGTCCTTTACTCGCCCGATGTCAAATTCATTGTCATCCGCAAGGCTCTTCGCGGTAATACACTTGAAACAATCAATGACGACCTTGGAATGACAGTATCGCCCGATTCATTGACTCGATGGCTCGATCTATTCCATGATACTCAGCAAGTCATCTCGGATCCAGACTTCTATGATCCTCGTGGCAGGCCAACTGTTTTGTCAAATGAGCACCGTAAATTCATTGAAGATGCCATCGATGCAGAGCCAACTCTTTATCTTGACGAGATTGCACAACAACTTGCAATTGAACGAGGTATTCAAATCACGGTTCCTACTCTAGCTCGTGAGGTTCGTGATCGTCTGGGTCTAACCTTGAAGGTGCCAAAGACTGTCCACCCAAATCGAGATGAATTAGAGGTAGCACGGTATGTATATGAAGTTGGATCAATTGATCCGGCATGCCTTGTCTTCTTAGGTGAGCTCCCTTTCTTGATGTGTGATCCTAGAGTTGTGAATAAATGCACCTCAAGATAACAGGATAAGTTCACATTCCATCATCAAGTGTCGATTAACCTCTGACTGGTGCAGAGCTCTGATCACCTTGTGAACCAGTGAGGTTTACAACTGGTGTGTAACCTCACTGGTTTTGGTGGAATTGAACGAACCTTAGTCTTGGATGTATCTATTCATGACTCAACAATCACACATCAAGAAAGCATACCAATCATCATGTTGTTGTTATTCAACTTTGTGCTGAATTGTTTATTGGTAGATGAGAGTTCAATCCAAGCTCGTAGGCTTTACCGACTGAAAGCTCGAGCACCACGAGGTGAACAAACCAAGCGCCTACCTCGGACTCTACAATCAAGACGATTTTCTTTGTTACCTGCCATCTCTTTGACTGGGTGTCTTGGAATGATTGTTCAGGAGGGTTCAATTCTGCGGGACGATTTAGAGTATTTTTTGTCACATCATCTGGTAAGTACCACAATTCATACATTCTGTCTTTGAATCAAACTGATTTACCATGTCTTCTACATCAGCTTCCAATGATGAACCCTTACCCGGCCGAAAACAGCGTGCTTGTCCTGGACAACGCACCCATCCATCATGGTGGAATGGTTCAGGACCTTTGCGAGCAATTTGGTGTTCGGATACTCTACCTTGCGCCATACGCCCCTGATTGCAATCCAATAGAGAAATCATTTGATATCATCAAATCTCGACTTCGAAGAAGTGGTGACCTACAAGAAAATATGTCGCTAGAAGAGGAAGTGGAGGTGATTTATCGTCATGCTGAAGAAGCACTGACTCCCGAGCTCATCCGTAGCCTTTATGCCGGATCAATATATCTTTGACGTGTAAGTTGACTATGCCATACTAGAATTAATTTCTGGATCTATTGTATCTTTCACAAGCTGATTGTGAATTAAACGATTTGGGTCTGCTTCATAAGTGTAACTTTGCGTACCTCTGACATTTCAGTGAGTGTTTTCAGATATAAACCCCAATAGGTATTTTAACAAATTGTCAAACAAGTATCATTCAACCCAATTCAATGGAATATAGCTGCAGATTAGCTTTAGCTGGGTTCAAGTCCGACAACATTGATAATGAGGGATTGGTTTGCAAAAAGCAGGTTTTTTGTACTTCTTATTCATGTTTCCATGTTCAGACTTTTTTAATTGAATCACAATTTATAAATAAAAAATGCAAATGATCATACATTTCGATGTCTCGCTTTGTCATACCTCAAAATGATGGTTCTGTTTTGAGAGGGGTTACTATCAATTTGACTTCATGTACGAAATAAAACTTTGATATTATCATGAAAGAAACTCGTCAAAAGAGCGGATTTGGATCAACCACACTGGTTTGATTGTGCAAAGTCAAACAAAAACCTTGTTTTTTGAATGTTTTATTGTACAGATTACAAATAGAGCTAGCAAGGCAGGACATTTTTTGTGTCAAAGACACATGATACAGAGAGAGAAAAATAACAATAACGAGTAAATGACGCATATCAAAATGAGAACAAAAGAAAAAACAACAACAAGCTCTCAGAGCAGTTTGTGATGAAGAACAAAATAAAAACCAAGTGATCAAAGCAGATCAGGAGAAAGAACAAAGGAGAAAAGTTACAATTGAATCAGATCGTAACAAAGAACAAAAGAAACAACATACAAAAAGAATTGATCAAAGCTGTTGCGCATCAATAGCAGCAAGTTTTGCCATCAAGAATCCCTGATACCTAACTGCACAAGCCATTAAATGGCTTGCATCGCCTGGAGGGATTCCAATTCGGTTCAATTCGGCAAGGTTCATATCGGTGGTTGGCTTGAGATCACTCCACCGAGTGTAATGAGCCTGACTCAAGCTCGCCCTCAAGCTAGTATCACTTGGAAGGAATTCCGCGTATTCTAAGAAGTCTTCCATGTTTCCAGAATACTTCTTTTGATAAATACAATCATCAAGTACTTGAGTTGGGGCCGCCAAGGGGAATGTTGGTGGTGCCAAAGGTGTTGGAGCCAAAGCCATGAACCCTGCTGGTGGGGGATCATTTGGAAACTCCACATAGCCCGGAGGAACTTTTCCGTTGAGAAAAGTCTTGAATGCAGGTTCTTTGGGAGGAGTGTATATATCAACGTCCGTGCGCCCATCGTTACGTGCTGCAATCTGAAAATTTAGACTTCCATCAGCAAACCTGAAACATGATTGATCTCAAAAAGATCAGACTTACAATTTGATCAACCCAGATTTTGATCTTGCGAGGAGTCATGATTGACCATTTCTTGTTATCAATGGGATCTCTGTATCGACATTGTTCAGTACCGTTCTTAGTGAGTTGAGCTTTTAAAGCCGCAGTGAAAACCGAAGGTGAGTTTTCGGTGGTAATTGACAAAGCGGCTGCTGAACCACTTGGCTGATTATTCACAACAGCTCGTTGAGTATTCCAAGAACCTAAGTAATTCCCTCTCTTTTCTTTTCTTTGTGCGGCAGCAATCTGAACATCGGGATTTGCCATTTGAGCCAAAAGTCCAGCAGAGCTAGGTTGAGTGGAATGATCGGCTAGTCCTTTGAAACTGTTCCATTCAATGCTGTTTTGAAGGTTGTATTTCTGATCGCGGAAGTGACATTTTGGTGTGAGACTGACACCAAGCCAAGTAACTGACTGAGGTGCAGAGACGTTGATTAAGTAGGTACCAAGACCGGCTTGTAGATGGTTGAGAGATCCCACCATCAAGTCGATCACAGCTTGAGGTGTTATATGATTTAAATCGATTGTGATGCAATTCTCAGGTCCGGTATCGTTCTTGTCGGTTTTGTCACAGTTCCATACGAATTTTTCAGTGGCTTTTCTAGATGAAGATCTGCTAGTTGAAGGACGATTTGTGTCCTTTGGCCCATGAAAATAAGC